CCCTCCCCTGCCAGCAGTGTGCAATGCTTGTGCCTGGTTTGGTTTGGTTGGGTTTGTTTTCACTCAAGGGAAGCTGCTTTCAGGTCCCCTCTGCAGCTCCCCGAGTTGGGAAGTGGTTCAGAATAAAGCAGAGACCTTTCAGGAGCTCTCACTCCTGCAGTTCTGGGGTCTTAGAGAATCACAGAATGGTTTGGGATGGAAGGAACCTTTCAAGGTCATCTAATCCAATCCCCCTGCAGTGAGCAGGGACATCTTCAACTAGACCAGGTTGCTCATCCAACCTGGCCTTGAGTGTTTCCAGGGATGGGGCTTCTACACTGAGATCAAACTGCTTTGGTGGTGCATGTTCATCCATCTGCTGGAAGCACCTTTAAAGCTTTTCCCTGGCTGATGTTCTGCTTTAAGTTCTGTTAAATGACTGTTTGTTTGATTGTTAAATGTTTTTTTGCTCCTGTTCCTGCCCCAGTCCTCTCTTCCTGGACACTTCAGGGATCTGGTGGCAGGACCCACCATCCCGGGCAGCAGTGGAGGCGTCCTGGGACGTTGCAGAGATGGCAGCTCTGCGGAAAGCTGTGGATGATGACTCGGACCTGAGCCATCTGGAGGGGGACAGCGCGGAGGAGCTGGCTGTGCCCGACCCGGTGAGTGTCTGGCTGAGTGTGGGATCAGTTCTCCCTGTTTCTAGAAGGAAATGGGGAAACTCTCTGCACCTCTCTTCATGTGCTTCCAAAAATGAAGAATAATCTTGGGGCCCTTGATGTTAAAATCACAGAATGTTGGGGATTGGAAGGGACCTCGAAAGATCATCCAGTCCAACCCCCCTGCCAGAGCAGGAACCTAAATGAGATCACACAGGAAGGTGTCCAGGTGGGTTTTGAATGTCTCCAGAGAAGGAGACTCCACACCCTCCCTGGGCAGCCCGAGGAGCTGGAAATTGAGTTGTCACTCTTCTGCTTGGCTTTCACTGCTGAGGTGTCTGCCTGGCTGAGCGAGAGTCGATGGCTCCTGGTTGTCACCAGCTGCAATCTCCAGTTCCCGCTGGCAGCTCTGGTGCTGCTGGTGCACATCTGCTGCAGCACACGCTGTGTCACAGGCAGGCACAGGGGAGGAAATATTTCCTCCTTCTTTTTTCCCCCAATGAAGCTTGGAGCTGAACCCCTCTTTTGTGGGACAGGCTGTTGTCCCCAGCAGCCAGCCCACCCTTGTCCCCAGCCTGGGGGGGACATTGCTGGTGGAGGTGTACACTGTGCAGCCCTGCAATGTCCCAGCACAGGGTGGGGAATGGGATATGGGTGTCCCTGCTCCGTGTGCTGCTCCCCCAACTCTTGGTTTGGGTTTCAAAGTCTTGGTTTGGGTTTCAGGAGCTGGAGGCCATCAAAGCCAGAGTGAGAGAGATGGAGAAAGAGGATGAGAGGCTGAAGGAGTTGCAGCTGGAAGCTGAGAACCGCCTCATCATGAGCTCGGAGGCAGGTATGGGCTGTCCCTGGGTGCTGCTGTTCCCCCAGGGACACCTCTGGGGCACAGGGTGGTGACTGGAGCTGGAGCATGTGGCTTTACCTCTCCTGGCAGCCTGGGGCTGGACATGTAAGGTGGGTGAAGGTTGAGGTCCCAGGGGTGGCATGGTGCTAACACAGGTTATATCCACTCTTAACTCCTACCTGTGCAGGCCACGATGCAGTCAATTAATTTAATTGCATTTAATTAAGTTCAGTAATTGAACTGAGCACCAACAGCTGTGGTAGAGCAGTCACCCGGTGGTGGGTGGGGTTTTTCTGGTGAAGGGAGAGGGTGCAAATGGATGGAGGAGGAGGAGGTAGCAGTGAGGGATCTGGGTGTGACCAGGGACTCTGGGAGCTCTGCAGTGTGACTCTGTCCAGCACAACCCCTTGTCTCTGCAGGTCTCTTCCCAAAGACAACCGAGGAGAAGATGGAGGTTGACCAGCGATCTATCTACGTGGGCAATGTGAGTGGGAGACCCTGGAGCAGGGCCCACCTTGCTGCTCCTGTCCCAGCTGGATGTATGTCTGAGATCCCCTAGCACAGGGACCTGTCTACCCCCACCGAAGGCTGGCTGGTCCCATCCCAAATGCTTCTCCTCTGCCCGGCCCAGGCGGGGAATGTGGCTCAGCATCTGCCCACGATCCTCAGCCACTTGTGGATCATCTGTTGCAAGTGTCAGCTCCCCAAAATACCCTTCTGGGAGCTGCAGGTCATGCAGTCTTGCTTGTTCCCTCAAAGCAGGGGGGTTGTCTCTTGGATTTGGGTTTCCAGGCTGGAGCGTTCAGCTGGAAGGAGCTCCTGAACCTCAGGAGATGGTGAGGCTGTGGTGGCAAGATGTGAGTGGGGTCAGCCAGGCACTTTATCTCCTGTGAGGGTGTGGAAATGCCAGGGGTGTCTGGATGGTGATGCTGGAGGGGCTGGGACTGTCATTGCAGGTGGATTATGGTGGCACAGCAGAAGAGCTGGAGTCTCACTTCAACAGCTGTGGGCAGATCA